CATCTCCCATTAGCTTTTGTTTGGGGATTATATTCACAGTATGTACCTTTAATTCATATTCTTTTCTGCCCTATCTGGAGGGAGATATTACTGAAAATAGCATCACTTTCAAAGGAGACTTTATAATTGCCTAGTACCCAGGGGATAAATTAGAACAAACGGAGCCTTATTCCATTCTAGGCCATACATCCCACCCCCTAGGGCTGGGATGAGGGACAAGGAGGTGCTTAAAAAAAAAAAAATGCGCGTGTGCGCACACACACACACAAAAACTCCTACCCTTTGATCGATTCTGTGCATAATAGAAGCTCATATTTAAATGACTAAGCTAAGTTAAAACTTTCCCTCCTGAAACAAAGCAAAAGGAAAGCCTCTTTATGTTGCAGGGGCTATAGATGCCATGGGCTGAGCCTGTCCTAAAGCTTCCCTCTGCTGCTCAACAACTAAGCCATCTTGCTGCATTTAGCACTTCTCCGCAGACCACCCACCCAGATGCGGATACACAAACCACATGTGTGAGGAACGCCGCTCGGCTAGGAAATCAGTATCAGTATTTCAACCTTATTACTTGCACAGACGGCCCTTTTAGTGCGACGCATTTGTTTTATCTTTTCAATAGCTTTGATTATTTTCTTTTAATGGCCTGGATTTATCCTTTTCTACCCTTTGGAAACTTCAGAACTCTGTGATGGGGGCTGCATGTGCTGGAAGACATGATTACGAGGGGGAAATGAGCAAATAGCTTTGCCTTTGCTCCCCCACGTCTCCCCACTCCTTGGGGCCATGTATTCTGTGCAGATCGCCCAGTACCCTGAGTGATTATAAAAGTGGACTCGGCAACCTTCTCATTCAGACGGTAGGCTATTTTAGTTATGGGGCCTGTTTATAATTGCTGAAATGTTTTTCAGTCGGTGCCACACAGTTCTCTCCCTAGCCCTTGGGAACCATATTGGTTACCCTCCTTTAATTGAGGGGAAATTAAGACCAAGAGGCTAAGCTGACAGCCCAGGGCAAGTTAACAACCTCTGGAAAAGACTGGAAATGCTGCTACAAAAGGGGACCATGTAAACAGGAAGGTGTGGATACTATTACCTGGCAGAGAAAGCAGAAACCCTGAAATGTACTTGGGATTTTCTATTTGGGTGGTATCCGGCCAAGGAAACCCATAAAATACCCACCATTGCTCCACCAATCAGAACAAACAAGCCCATCAGTTTTGGACACTGTGTCCCTAGATGACCAAGCAGACAGGTCTGGGCGCCACTGAGCTGCCATCTCCCTCTGAGACCCCTTGCCTGTCCAAGTGGCACACAGTTCTGAGAGACGGTGGGAAAAAATGTACCGGGGCAAGCGGTGGCTCATCACCCTTCCTGGGTGCGAGCACTTGCAGACGACATCCACAGTTGTCTTAAGCGTGACCAAGCTGCTCCTCTTGACTTCCTCCATGCTGGAGAAAACACAAGCCCATTACTTTAAAAAAGAAAAAACAAAACAAAACAAAACAGGAGTATCGATGCTGAAACAAGGGAAGAGATTAGGTTCAAGCACGGTTATTACAAAACTCAGCTGCCAGCCAAGTCCATCTGGGGCTGATGCTTCCACACCTCAAATCCGTTCTGAGCTGGTAACCTACAAGGCGGTCCACTATCCTCTTCTCAAGGGCTTGTCAGTCTGGAGATAAGGTGACTTTCTCAAGTTTGATGTAACTCTACTATTAACTAGAGAATTATATCCAATTTCTTGGTTACGTGCCAAGCTCAAAGTAGTCGATTCTTTCTTGAAGTAGAGTTCCTCCTTCCTGGCTAATCAAGATAGCATTTCTTGCTGCTAAAGTAAATGGAAAGCCTTTGCTGGGCTTTGTCTAGTGAAAGCACATTGTTTAATTTATGAACCAAACCTTCCAGAGAAACAGGGGAAAGAGAGAAAGTATCACGCACAGTCACCTGTTTTATTCTAAGAATGTGCCCCACCATTTTTTGCTTTAAAAATGACTGTATTTAGGACATGAAAATGGTGCTAGACACTGGACACTCAAAGATGAATGGGGGTTGGGCTGTGCCCTCCACTGGTTTCGGCCTCTCCATTCATTCTTCCTTAGGAGCAACATCACTTCTTGAGGAAGGCAAAGGGCTCATTTTCCCCTGTATGTCAAGCAAAACCCAACTCCAGTCCAATGACTCTTAACCAATCAGCAAGACTGTACACTGTAAAGAAAATGGAGCCACAGTAGATGAGATACGAATTTAAGTAAAACACCTATTTCTGTCAACCTGTACTATATTTCAAGATGGGTTTTAGAGATGGGAAATACATCTTATGAATGCCTAGTAGTTCACATAATAGCATCGACACACACATACAGTGTATCTTTCAACATAACTACACATACACACTCCATTAAAGAAGATACTGACAGATTTATAAAACGTACTGGCCTTGCACTGTTAATCTCAAGAATACATTTTTGCTTCATTTATTTTTGCACCGCACAGTAGCTCTGGCCACCGTGAAGGGTCTGTCAGCATTTCCATCCGAACTCGATTTGCACGTACTGCGGTACAAGTGCCAAAATACATATTTACAGTTTACAGACAGCGGTGGCTTTGTCTTCCCTTTAAATTGACTTCTTCAATGGATCCTTCACAAGGAGCATCCGGGGATGGCCGTGCCTACATGATCAGAAGTGTCCTACAAAACAAAAGGGGCCAAAGATGTAGACTTTCAGCCCAAGACTAAACTAAAGCATGGGAGGCGACTCCTCAACATTCACTGCAGCTGTAATTGTCGCTACCTCAGATTCCTAATTTTTGAGCGAAAGTCGGAAGATCAGGGTGTGTGCATGTGCAGTACACAAAATGCTAAAGGTGGAGCGCAATGAGCAGACAGCAGACTACGCTTGAGCCGTTCACTTCTACAATAAGAGAGATGAATACAAGCCGCCACGTCCACCACTGGATGTCCAATTCCATTCCCCAGGTAGAGTTAAAACACTTAAGAATCAAGTCTCTTATAAATAAGTATGTTAACTTGAACATACTTGGAATGGGGGAGGGGGGGTTGAAATGGTATGTGGGATATTATGCAGGCCTGAGCGGTCTTTCCAAAAGGTTAGCTGGGTTTGTAAAAGGGATCAGCAGAAACATTTTTGGTGGAAGAAAACCAACTTTTTTGGCGCTTTCCACAAAAAGGGGAATAATGATTCAGATCAGAGACCCTGGCTTAGCAATTTGAAAATGTTCAGCACAGTCCCTTGGGTTTTTCTTGTAGAGCTTTTGTCTCTGGATCTTAAATTTTTATGCTTTCCCCTACTTTGACACAATATGCAAGCATATATAGACACACCTATTTGTCTACATAGAGGTAGAGGGAGAAGTGGATGGCAGTGAAGGTGTTTATAACTGCAAATGTTTTTGTTGCTAACATAACTGATATATGCTAAGTTGGAGGTATAACCTCTTGTACACAATCATGCTGCAAAGCCAGAGGCAAGCTAATTTATAAGGGGTGGGGGTGGAGTTCTAGATATACATTCCTCCCTCCTCTTCCCCGCCCCGATCAAAGTACTGGAGGAAAATTCAAAGCAAGTTTCTCATACTCAGGCTGGCCCAAACCATATTTACTATCACCCAATTGATTTTACTTGAAATCTAAGAAATTAAACCCTGCCATTTTTCCTTTGTGCTTAAAATACCAAAGCCACTGTTAGGATACGCATGTGCCAAATACATTTTTTAACAGGTTTCAATGATGTTTATAGACATTGTTGAACCGAGAGGGTAACTTGAAGAGAAGTATAACTATTTGAAATTCATCAAAAGGGGATTTATTATTTCTGCATTTAAGGATTCGATGAGAGTAAGAATACAACTTGCAAAAAAAAATCAACAACGTGACTCTCACTCTTGAAATTTTGTGGACAACTCTTTTTGCTGTGTCCGTGAGGATGAGTCGATGGGTACATTTCCTTGAATTTCATTATTAAATTTACAAACTTACATTTTGACGATATTCTGAAGACATTTGCTTTATTGCCTAAATTTTAGGTCTAAAGTTTATCACTGTAAGAGCTTCCCTTCTTGTTCTTCTTGTTTGGTTGCTTAAGTTACCTAGTTTCCTGGTAAGCAGCCAGAGGAACGAGAAAAATCTTCACGCCGCCACATCATTTTTGCCATACAACTTAGTTACAAAAATAAAAATGGCCCAAACTACATATATACATTTCTAGTTACACTACACAGATATTTCAGTTAAACCACATCCATTTCTGGCTTAATTAGAGTATGTGGATTAGCAGTTAGGAACGTTTAAAGATTTCTAAATTTTCCAAACAATTCATATAAGCATCGCCCTCCCCCTTTCATCGGCAAAGTTAAAAACAGAACCAGACACAACTAAAACCACGCCTAAAACCACACAAATCAGTCACCTTATGTCCAAAATGACTCCAGAGATGTCTCCAGAGTTAAACACTGAGAAGGGGACACACAACAAATGCTTCAAGGGCGGTTCATGCCAACCATCGAGAATCATAACATTACCGGAAAAGTACACTTGTCCTTGAGGACGCTTCAGAAGTAATTTACAAGGAGCATGGCTGTATTATAATTTTTTTAAAGAAAAAAAAAATAGTGTCTTTGGATAGAAAGAAACAATGTAAAAAAAAATCCCCTTTTTAAAATGCAGAAATAACTTATCTGCATTTACATTACTGCCCAAAGGAATGGGTCTGGAAAGCCCATTTTCTGTACAGACACTGGTTAATCTCTGTATGAAAAGACAGCATCTGGCACAGGAATAAACAAGGGAGAGCCTAGAGACCGGTCTAGTCGCACACATAGAGGCTTTCTTAAGGCTGATCCAGTGAATGAACCTTTGGATCCAGAAGTATTTCTTCATTTCCCCTTCTTTTCAGTTGAGTTCCTAGCAAAAACGCGTAAGATGAGCTGTTCTCACTTTGCATATCTCCACTTAGGGAGAGGATGGAATAATGACACCAAAAGTACTTTGGGTTTTTGTTTTTCTTTTAAAAATAATTCGCTTTCTTTTGCATGCCACAGGACAGATTTCTAGTTTTCAAACAGGGTACATCAAGAACAAAACTCTCCCCCCCCCACCCCCAGCTTTATTTTCACCAATACAAGAAATCCTTCTGGAAACATAAGCGAGTGACTAAACAGGATCAAACTGCGGAATCTACACGTTAATACATAATCTGTTATGGTAGAATAACCACGAATCTTCCCCCAAAGAAAGATCTTAATTTTCCAAATATAAAAGAGTCTAGGAGGATCATAGATGAACAAAAAATCTTATTCCAGGTTTTATGGTCAAGATGGAAAACACACTGGCAGCCAAAGAAAATGAAACGCTTACTAATAAATAGATCCAAATTAAGAATTTCTACAACATTTCTTTAGAAAACAGAACCAGAATTCTTTTTTTTTTTTAAACGATGATCCTATGGAATGCTTACTTCCATATTTCTCTACTATTAGAACCGTAAAACAGACACAAGAATGTTGAAGACAGCTCAACAGTGCTGGATGCCGGACGTTTACAGGTACACTTGGTTAAAAGTCCTACAGGTTTATTGACTAAGGCTAGACAACAATTCATATGATCCTATTTGGTGCATTTTCTACCATGGTCCAAGATCATTATATGGATACAGCCAAGGGCTGGGCCCCAACTCTCAGGAGAAAGACCACAAAGAAGAAAATCAGTGTGGCAATTTGGTCCCCCCAGTTGATCATTTGTGTCCCGGAACTGGAAAAACAAAAGGTGGCAAATACAGACTGCAACGAGTAAAAGGACTTGGAAAAGTTGGTGGAGGGTGGCACGGTGTACGAGTAAGGTCACTGGGCTTGATGGCAAGGGCGCTGCATTGAAAGAGCATCCGTGGGACCAAGTACAAGTACTTAAAATGTCTTGTGGTGTCATTCCCTCAACGACTTTAGAATATCTGTATGCGATAATAAATAGATCAGTTATGTAATAAGGCAGTGTGTTGAATATGCATTCGTCCTGTGGAATGAACCACCACAGAGAGAGATACAGGATACCATACACATTCTTTAAGTTTTCTTGTGTTGTGTTGGATTTGTTTGTTTTCAAGGCTATCCAGGCTAACTCTTCCCGGGGAGTTCCTTGGAGAGAAGAGTGGTCCGCTGAGGCTGGTTTGCTTAACCTCTCCTTTATCAAGAGATGATGACTGGCTTTAAAGAAAAATAAAGCTGAAGGTTGTTTGATTTTTATTTTTTCCCTTTTGGTTGCATCATTCTGAGTGTTTTCATATAAACAAACAAACAAAAAATCACAACCAAAAAAAAGAAACCAAGAGTTTTTGATGCATCCAGTTGTTTTATCCTCAGGACGTTCCAGATGTTTCCAGGTAACTCTGTAGTTTACGGACTGTGGTTTTGTCCAGCGAGCAAAGGTCAAAATCAAATGTCGTGTTTGTGATATGAAAGTGTCCAGTTTCTTCTATAAGGTTCACGATCTAGGGGAATAAAGAAGAGATAGTTTGGGTAGTAAGCAATGGACATCAAAAGCCAGAGAGAGAGAGAGGGAGGGATGGAGGGGGTCAAATATGGAACCAAGAGACTGATATTCTCTACAGCAAGAAGTAGTATGCCATTGATGGCAGGGAACGATCTCTTCGCCACTTTGGTAACATGCCAAAGGCATATTCACTCTTTGAAATTCTCAGCGAGAGGAGATTACCTGTTCTTATCATTCATGTCCTTTAAATTGGTTTCTGCTTTCAAGTCCTCAATAGACTATTTTACTGTATAGGTGGTTAGAGGGAGGTACAATCTCAAGACCCCTTTCAAAATGAGATACAGACTCAATGGATAGTGACTATACTTACTAGATGCAAGGAAATTCCATCCTACAAATAACAAAACTCCTTATTAAAAAAATACATGCATACGCATATAGAATAATGATCATTTCTCTTTCTAATTATGTTATTGCTGAAAGCTTAGCAAGTACAGAAACCCCCAGAGGAAAAAAAAAAACCATAAACCATCTACAGTCCCACCCTCTGAAGACCATGGGGCAGTAACTGAAAGGGGCTGGGGCTGTTTTGTTGCTTGATTTGGGTGCTGATTACAGAAGACGCATTCACTTTGTTAAAATTCATCCAGCTGTACACTGTGTTATACTTGAACAAAATGAAGGAAAACCTATACTTAGACTCATGTTCTGTTTATTCCCTTGAATACTTGGGGGGGGTGTTCATAAGTATTATCTAGAAAAAGAATTATCTAGAAAATGTATGATCTATAAAAAGAAAAAGAAGGCCTTGGTCTCCTCACTTGGAATAGTCCTACCTCATTTCTTACTGTATTGGCTCTAACTTCCAGAAATATGATAAAAGAGATGGCAAAAGGTACCGCTGCTGTCCTGCCTTGGCTTACAAGAGGGTGAGTCTAAGGTTTCAAGGTTAAGAATGATGTTGATGGCTGCTTTGGGAGAATCTTTCCTCATGTTCCGTGTCTTTCCATTCCTATTTTACCAATAATTTTATCAGATATGGATGCTGTTCTGGGGTAGCATGGATTTTAGGGATGTATGTTGTGGGTAAACTGGGATGGAGGGGGATAATCTTAACAAGCTTTGTGGGAGAGAGAAAACAAGTCAGCGTCAGGATGGAAGAAACAATATTTGCACAAAGAAAACTGGCAATCCCTCCACTCCCCTCCTATTGCTTGCTTCCTATTCTCTTTCGTTCAATAACCTTAAAAAAGAGAACAGTTTTCATTATTTAGCCTATTACTTATTCAATGGAGTTTCAGATGACCTAATTTCAGGCTGAAAGCAGCAGAAAGGAAACTTTGGACCCTCTCTTCTTACAATTAGTTTTCTTTAAAAAAAAAAAAAAAAAAAAACACCAGTAAATTTGTGAACTATTCCCTATGGGTCGGTGGCTCTCCATAGAAAATGTGCCCACCATTCCTGACATATTTGACTTCCACAGAAGCATAAAAGACATACTGAACCCCAACCCAATTAATCACACAGGTCCAGATGGAATCGTTCTTGCCTTACTCAATGGTGGAAATGTTTTTACAGATAGAACTACGGGTTTCATAATAAAAAACAAGTTACTCTCACTGTGAAATCATGACAGACACAGAAACCTGCCTACCGAACATCCACTTATCCCTTCCTTTTTACTCTGAGAAGCTGGATTTTTCTGGAAGTACCAACATGCCAGCTAAAACACTGGCCTCCCCAGACCCACTTGCAGCAAGTGGCAGATACTGCTATTTATAATTTATTTTGTCAGAAGTCACTAGGATTTCAGGACAATTTTTAAAAAGGCTACAGACAGTGAGTATGTGTCTTTTGGCCTCTGCCCCTACTCCCTTTCTAGAACGAAGATGTAATCCTAGCTTCCTCTCAAGAGGATGAATGCAAGATGGGAAAGATAGCAGAGCAGGAGGGCAAGGAGTGCACGTCCTCAGTGGCACCTTTTAAGCCACCACCTTGACCTTGAAATATATCCACTTACAGGAGTGGAGAGCGAGGGTGGAGGAGTGGGGTGTGGGTAGGTAGATAAGGGGCCTTACTTGCCTAACCCACTGGATGCAGGGTTCCACCTCTAGCTCATGCATTAAGAGATTGTTAGAAAGGCTCTTCCCAATTACAGTTAAAGTACTACACTCACATAAGAACTTATCAAGCGAGAGCGGACACTCATTTGTTCTATTAAGAGTTATCGAGCTTTGGATAAGCCACCCACACACATACTGAGGCGCATATGCAGCTATGTGCACACACAAACTTGTCAAGGCAAATATTTAGTATGTATTGACCATCAATTTAATTAAGGGTACTTTCCAGAGTAAATTATCTTTTTTGCTACAGTGTAAAGAAATAGTATAGGCCCAGTAAAAATGTGTGATCCCCAGGACAGAAAAAAAATAGGCTTTCAAGGTACACAATGGAGGCAAATGACAAATATCCCAGAGTGCGACTGCTGGCCAGTAGGAAAGTGACCAAGCATTCAGAATGGAGTCCCGAATTCTGGGTATCCATTCTGATGGTGCTCACTATTTGAATGTCATTGCACAGAACATCAGACCCTCTGTTTTCCTCCTCATCTGTAAAATGCGGATAATGCTGCTTGTTCTACTTAAGACACAGGGTTGTGCAGAGGGTCAAATAATAGGATAAATAAAAGCTGATTTATAAGCAGAATTGTGACACCGATCAGGGAGATTGATTATGAATACCATATAAACATATGCTTATCCTTAGCGATCTAGGAGGTAACTGTACAGCACATGAACTATCATACCCAGTGCACTCTCCACCTCCCCTCATTGACTGTTAGCCATTTCATTAACACTAAAAGAAATGAAGCAGGAATGCCAGAAGCTGAAATTCAGAAAAGGCCTACTTGTGTCTTTAAAAACTAACTACAATCAAAGTTGGCAGGGAGAAGAGAAGATGAAGGAGAGTAGTTAAGTCACAAGGTGGGGGTAAAACATAGTCCTAGGTTTTCCCTTTGAAATGACCATTCACTCCTTTAATAAATCACTTTCTGTGACTCTGTTATAGCTAATTACTTACCAGTAAGTACAAAACAAAGCAATAAAAAATACCTTCTAGAAAAAGCCACTTGATTTTAAAGAAAATAAACCCATTTGCCTGCCAGTGAATGGGGTGTCTCAAGCACTGGACTGTCTTGTAGGGTTCCAGGGCTTGGATCACAGGCCTCCTCCCTCCTCCACATGCAGCACTCTCCCCTCCCCCCACACCCACCCACACCCCCAGCCACAAACAAATGCAAGGGATCTGATCAGTCTCACTAAATGAGCCCCATGCTTTTATGGGAGCTTGTAAGAATACATCAAGGTAGAGGCAGAGATGGCCACAAAGCACCAGTGGTGCAGCAGGTGGGGCGTTCGGGACAATTTGCCAAAGGGACCGGCATTAACAACTTGAATTATTAGAGCATGTACCCACGTCCTCAATTAAGTAAAGACTTCATAAAGAAAAATAAATGTGGGTTCTTTTCCAGGAATCCTGTTGGTTAGAACATCAGAAGCACAGCATCAACCTGTCTCAGACCGATGACAGGAGCCACAAAGCCTAAAGGCACCCCGCTGGTCCTTGGAGGATGCCCGGCTGCCTCTCTACAGGCATTGCCTTGCTCTGCGGATGTGGTGTGGCTCTACCTTGGTGCCCTCCCCCTGTATCAGTCTGCAATAGGAAAGACCTCTCCAGAGTAATAATAGTAAAAGACAGAGTGACTACAGATAAGAAAGGAAGGCAAGGGCACACAGTGTGTATGTGTCGTGGAAAAGGAAGAGTATCTCAGCTGCTTAACTCATTCTTCCCATCATGGTGCTGGTGCAAACATTTGTGATGGATTATCTCCTGCCACAGAAGTCTCTTAGCGGGTACCACGTGGACTGGTTTGTTTTTAAAGAGGGTATGATCCACTTGTTAAACCCGTGGCTCCTTTCCCCAACGCTGGTTTTTAATTGTAAAAAGGTAGATGTGTTGTTCTTAGTCTAATTACATTTTTTAAGAAACCAGGGTTCTTTCTGTCCAAAAGCAGCCTTTTCACTGAAGGGAAGAACTCCGTGAACAAGCTTGGCTTCAACTGCTTCTGCCTGAGGTACATTTGGGTCTTCCTGTAGAAGTGCTGTCGACCGTGGGACCATGGGTGCCCTGCCCCAGGGCAAGAGATGAGCCTTGGGGATCCTAGTGACAGGGGATCCCATAACAGGAAGGCGATTTCCCCAGAGGGAGATGATGGTTTTCGGCAGAAGACTTCTCAGGGAGGGTTCTCCATGTTGTCAGAAGGAATACGCCAATATACCACTCACTTCCATCTCCCTCAAGATAACTGTTATCTGAACTGTTAACCTGTCTTCTGAGGAAGATGCCAAGCCAGACTCAGCCCAAGTGCTGGGGAAGTTAGAAGCGCTCAGTCTCCCTTTCCAAATAAATGCAGAATGCATGGTTTGAAGAAAAATCAAATCATTCATCCATCCATCCATCCCAGGTACTCGCTCCTCTGGGTTTGGATGTATCCCCTGTACTGTATTTTTAACCTAAGGAAAAGTGGCTTAAGAGCTCAGGCTCTCTTCATCCAGTAACTTCTGCTCATTAAGCTACTGACGCCAGGGGGCCAGTCCCGCACGTCCCCAGAGTAAAACAAAGACCTTAACCACATTCCGTGAGCTGAATAAAAACCGTCGGGCCAGATTTTTTGATAGGATGCGTTTGACAGTAAAAGACCTCGGGTGTGATCCCCGCCTCACCAGAATTCCTGTCGCGGGCACTCAGGCCCGCGAGGCGGCCGACACGTGGACTTTGTGGCATGAATTCCACGAGAGGAGCAGCTCTCAACATGGGGAGGAACGTTAGTCCTCAGTAGTGCTATGTTTTACAATAGGAATTAATTAAGCAGTAAACCGTGACAGGACATGCATCATGGTATCATAATCACAAGCCTCAGCTGCATTAGGAGGCAAAAGGCCAAAGGCGGAGCGCTTTCCACCGGCCTGGGAATGCAATTAGGCTGAAACGCGGTGTGCCCTGGAGCGCCAGGATGCCAGGTTCAAAATTCAGAGCTATCCCTCTCTCCCTCTAGGACACTAAAGTAATCCACTTCGATAGAATTCTCTAGGAAGCCACCTTCCCTCACGATTCTTTCAAAGGTCAAATGAAAGGACAATAGGAAATCGGAATGCCAACGACACCCCAAGGTGAGACCTCGCCAACGGTCTACTTCCTCCGCTCACTGGCTGGGCTTTCTTTGTGAAGGTGTCCCAGCCCTGCCCAGACATCTGCTCCACGCTCTGGCGAGACTCGCTATTTGGGCCCAGCTTATGTTTTAATAGCTTTATTGTACAACTGCTCCACAGTGGTTCAGAGCTGGTGTTTAAAAGAGGATAGAAAGGGATGGGAACATCCACTGACAGATTTACCATCACCATTCAGTCAAACAACCCCAAGCCATTGGTAAACGACAAGCTGAACAATTTTTTTTTTTAAATTTTTTAAATATTTATTTCTGAGAGACAGAGAGAGAGAGAGAGAGAATGAGCGGGGGAGGGGGGGAGAGAGAGGGAGACACAGAATCTGAAGCAGGCTCCAGGCTCTGAGCTGGCAGCACAGGGTCCGATGTGGGGCTCGAACTCATAGAGCACGAGATCATGACCTGAGCCGAAGTTGACACTTAACTGACTGAGCCACTCGGGTGCCCCAAGCTGAACAATTTTCATTTTGACAAAAGGACGTCAAAGAAAGATACCAGCAGGGGACGGGAACAGCTCTTTGGGTGAACCACTCCACATACCCACAGTCACAAGAAATGCAACTCATCCCGGTTATGAATCATAGGTCTATAACCTTGTGTACAAACTTGAAACTATAGAAGGGGTAAAAAGCGTATCAGGCAAATCAGGGAACTTGGCAGGTTTGAGAGTACGTATTTATAGATTTCGGTAAAAAATGTACACAGAATATAAATATGACCATCAGCCATGAAACGTGAAAAAAAATAACCCCCACACAGCTGGGGTAGATTAAGTACTACTTCAAGTCCTTTGAAAGTAGTAATAAAACAAAATTTCAAACAGCGAAACAATCTACAATTGTAGACCGGCCCTGGAATTTAGTGCACAACCTTTTTTTTGGGTGTTAAGTTTCTTTTTTTTTTATCAACAGCCACTGTCTGCACAACAGACACAAGTACTATAACTATAGTAAAATTAAAAAGCACCCTTATCTTCGCAAAGCAACCAACTGTACTAACAGAAGTTTCCCCACTCCCCAAGAATTTCACCGTTGAGTTCATCAGAATAGATGGATGTGGTACAAGATAGGAGAAATAAGGAAAATATTTACTTCCCTCAGAATAGCACTGGCAAAAGGTGACTCAATTTAATCGCAAATGTTTACACCACTTGACTGAAATTCTTATCACTGTTTCCTCATGAAACTAGAAGCCTGCACCCAAAGGCGTGTGCACCGCCATTAGTCCCTCCGTAAGTCTGCATGACAGCGTCCGTCAGCTGGCGGAGGAATCTGTGCACTCCAGCATCCTCACCCTCTCAAGGGCCCAGTTTTCTGCAATGCCAGGGGACGGAGCTGCGGGGCAGGCACCCACCGTAGCCTGGGCACCCCTCCCCCCAAGGACTTGTGCTCAGGTGGTAGGGCTGGTGTGACCTCTAGGTGTTATGACCCCACCCCAGGACAAAGGAGGCCTTAAGGCTTCCGGAAAGGGGTGTGCTACAAACCAGTGCTCACCTGCTGCAGAATGTGTCTTTCCCTCAGCGTCATTAACCTTCTGTGAAGCTCTACCAGCTCATCTAGGTAGGCCTGGAAGAGAAGAGGGTCCCCCCGAAGAACAAGCACTTTAGGAAGCGAGCCAAAAACAAAACAAGTAAACAGGAACATATACAAGCAGCAGTTGGAGGTTGCCCATTCTACCCTCCTTCTCAAGCTCGGTGGACTCAGTATCCAAGGCCTTTGCAGACCAAGCCTCTTCTGGCCAACTCCTTATAAAGCCAGGTGTTTTTTTTGTTTTGTTTTGTTTTGTTTTTTAAATAAAGGGCAATTCTTGCACCTTCCTACTCTCAACAAGATTCAAAGGAGCAGACTCACCCTCTCCCGGTAATAGCCTCCAGAGACAAAGGGTACTCAATCCTGAATTGTGAATTTAAACATTATCACAGGCTACTTTTTTAAAAATTCTTCCATCTCAGAAGATTTTTAAGATAAAAAAGTCTAAATTTGAACATGGAAGTATAAATGCACATTACCAATTACGTCAAGACAAAAAAGAAAAAAAAGAAGCTTTCCTGGTCACACCTAACATCGCCAGTGAATCGTAAGTGACAGAAGAGGAAAATGTCTTATTGAAAATAGAGATCGCTATCCACATTAGCATCTGGTTTGTCAAACGCTTCCCTGAATGACAGAAGCATGGCTCTTTTTCCACATGCTCAACACTCCTGAATCTCTGTTAGCATAACTGCCTGGGTTTTTCCAGTGTCGTTTGCAACGAGGGCAAAGGAAAGGTTTGTGAAGCATTAGTCAGGGGCCTTGCTTGAGCCTGTAGAGAGTGTTGTCACCCTACCCGTGACAGGTCTGGAAGTCAGATGTCGAATGCACGATGTACACTTGGAAAGCATGTTCCATGAGGCTCGGGCGTTCTGCTCATTTGTGGCTGTGGCTCCTCAATCCTCTACCTCCACCGTGATTTTCTTACCGCCCAATTCAATGTGCCCCAAATCCCTTGGCAATACAGGCATCATGGCAAATAGTAGCATGTGGGCCCAAAGATCTAAGCAAGTCTTGGAAAACAAACTACAGAGCATCGAGCAGAAGTGCTCATCATTTAGGGGGTGAGGGGCACTTCTGATGCAGAAATGAACGGGGAACCACCAAGGAGGATTGGGGGAAACACTGGAAATGGAAGACATGTCAGCGCTGTGGCGCGCATAGAACGCCCTGGAAACCTACCTTGTCACATTCACCGTTCTTGATTTGCTTATCTGACTTGCTCTGCTTTATTGGACTTTTCACTTCAAGAATCTAGGGATCAAAGAGAACACTGTTAAATCTGATTTCGAGGGCTTCGTAGTCGGCCTGCCGTAAAACAAAGGCACTTAACGAAACGTCCTACAATAACATCACTTTGCAAACCGTATTTTTCCTCTACACGTTTTCTTTCCTCTCGTCTAATCTTACTCTTTCTTGGAAAATAAAGGACTTCTATCTGAAATGCTGAGTCAGGCCAAGAGACTTAAAAAAAGAAGTCGATGATAAGGAAATGGATCTAAGCTTCCCAGGCTGCTGCTTTTTGTGACAACACTGTCACACATATGCACTGCAGCTGAGTTATACGGCATTATAGTCCCCTCTGGCAAGAATTTTTTCGTCGTCTTTCTGCTGTTTCAGCACGACTACCAGTGCTCAGTAGGCTAGCGATGATAAAACAAACACTCGAAGGCCCTTTTTTAGTACCTGACATTCAGATTCTAAAAATTACTCCCATCCACAGAATTGGTACAGCTGTGGAAATGGAGATGGCCATCAGTTTTTACTGGTTGCTCCCAACCAAGGATCCTCCAACTCAAGAAATCAAGAGCCAGGCCTATCTTCTGTGGTTCAAGAAATGGCATGTCTACCTGTGATGAAATGCCAAGTGCCTGTCCTTTTATATGACCCAATTACAGCTTCGGGTAGGAATAACAGTTTGGCATGCTGTTTAGATGCTTCCTTGGGGAGCTAGGTTTCTAATTAATAAAAAGGAGGAACCAATTATTATTTAATAAATAGTTAATTTATTAGAGTCTTCGAAATTGAGGATTATGAGGGAAATATTGTTAAATGGGCCTCGTTTAAAATTGCTGAGATTCCCCTGTGTTTATTGATGAGTGTTTACAAATGTATATAAACAGAAAAAGCAAAGTAATTTGTCTTTTTCAGGATAACCTCATTACCAAGTGAGTTATAATCTCAGAAGCTAATATTAAGGAGGCAAATGTCAAATAAAGGATATATTTAAGAAGTCTCCTATTCCTGGGGTGTTTGTGTGCCTCATTTGGTTAAGCATCCAACTCTTGATTTTAGCTCAGGTCATGATCTCATTGTTCGTGAGTTTGAGCCCTGCATTGGGCTCTGTACTGACAGTGTGGATGGAGACTGCTTGTGATTCTCTCTCCCTGTCTCTCTCTGCTCGGCCCCCCCCACCCCAAGCACTCTCTCTCTTAAAATAAATAGACATTTAAAAATAAATAAGTAGAGGTGCCTGGGTGGCTCAGTCAGTTAAGTGTCTGACTTCGGCTCAGGTCATGATCCCACAGTTCATGGGTTCGAGCACCCGCATCAGGCTCTGTGCTGACAGCTCAGAGCCTGTTTCTGATTCTGCCTCCTTCTCTCTGCCCCTCCCCCACTCATGCTCGCTCTCGCTCTCTCTCTAAAAAATAAACATTAACAAAATTTAAGAAATAAATTAGTAATAAACCAATAGATGTCTCACATTCCTGCTGCTCTTTATCCATTCTCTGCTCTAACACACACACACACACACACTCCCAGTTCTATTCAAAATCTACCATATTCCATAATACAAAAATGATTTTAACATGAGTTCACTTTTCATTTGTCATGGAAAGAGCACTGATTGGGCTCAGAAGCCCAAGTTCAGGTCCTAGCCCTATTATTTATCATTTTGGACCTCAAAAAAATGAGATGAAATCAAAGAGATGAACAAGATAATGTCCAGATTCCCATCCAGCTGTAAAATTTCATACTACCAATGAACAATTTCCCTGTTGAGGATAGGACCATGACATTCTGGAAAAGACCAATTGCTTCCAAAAGGGTATCTTTTCCTTTGAATTTAGAGTGATGCCTGGGTATAGAAGGGAGCTTCTAACAGTCTTTCCTAAGAACTGCCTCTATTTCTTCATTTTTAACATTAAGATAACCAGATGACCAATCTGACCAGGCTTAGTCACTTAAAATACAATGCTTTGGGGCAACACAAGGAAATTACTTAATCAGTGGGGCAAGGCAATCGTTTTTCACATGCGGCACTGTACAGGAAACCCAACACTCCGCTACATTCAGAATTTCCTTCTCTCTATTGTTGTTGGAAATGAGACCTCCAGGGGAAATTCCGAGCTCTGAGACCTAGGAGTAAGTAGGTCAGTAGATGGCACTCCTCGCCAACTCAGACCACATGGTGGGGCAAAGCAGAGCCAATCTGCTGAGATTTTAAGCCAGAGAGAAAAACAGCGCCTGCGTGCTTGCCTAGTGCACTAGAAAACTGAACTGTGCTCCTATCTTGTCCCACTCGGAGGCTGGCGGGGGAGAGGGGGGAAACTTTCCCCCAACTCACTGAACTCCAGCGGTCAAAGCAACTAAGGACTCAGTATTTGTAGTGCAGCTTTGCTCACTAGCTTTATAGAGTTGTACCACCTTCTCTTCTGAGCAGAAAATAGAACATTCGGGGCACTTGAGTCCCACCCTACACATGCCATACGTAAGTGCTACCGCACAGAAGTCCAAACTACACTGAAATCCTAGTCTCTTTCTTCTGAAGCTTCAGTGGCAGGAACAAAAGGTCCAGGTGTCAGTGATCCGCCTCAAGTTACTGAGTGGCTGCCCGGAGAGGGCTCAGTTCATCTTCCTTCTTTGATCTCTCCCTGCTCCAAAATAAACAGCTTTGTCAAAACCTCATTCTGAGAGAGCTAAGCCATGCTGAAGACAATTGTTTTATTTATGATCTTTTCTTATCTTTAAGGAAATGACTCCAGGAAAGTACAGCACCTTGTCTTCCATGGGCTTATTTCAACCCAGTTTAACTAGATAGACTCTTTCAATTTTAGTATATGTGCTGCCGAAGCGAGCACTAGATAGACTCTTTCATTTCATCCAACATGCCTTGCAGGCGGATAGGTAATTTATGATATTCTGAATATTAACTTGGGTCCAATGGATCGCTTCCATCCCTCAAGGCCCCTCTCCTCTACCCCCTTCTCCTCCCTGCTTTTGGCCCAAAAGGATCTGGAATTTTGTTTTTGTCTTAAACTCACACATAAGGGAGGTTTGTAGTAAAAAGACAAACCAAAACAAAACACCTCTGGTTAAAATTGCACAACACTTGCTGTTATTGCCTACGAGGCCTTCCTGAAGGAAACTACCACCGAGACCTCCAAGTCGCACCATTTCTACACATGGTGGTGCCCGAAAACAGAGCAAAGATCCTTAAGCTGAGGATATGGCCGGAGAATCAGACTTTCAAGATTATTATTTTTCTGCATCCCTTTGTGCGGACTGACAACTCAATTATTCAGCAGATGGATCCTCTACTGATCGGTCTTTCATGTTAATGATCACTAGCAGCTCCTGACAATATGCAGGTTAATTACTTGCTTTGTTGACATGTGGCTCTCTGTCTGTTCACTTTTTTTCAAGAGTTAGAAAATGTTTGACTCAATTAGCACTTTCCCTTTTCCCTAGTCCCTGGAAGAACTGAGAATGGGTAAGGAAAACTCTGCTTTGCTTGGTAATGTACAGAAATTTGCAGACGGACAGCAACCAAGGAAATTTATACGAAGAAGGCCTACCCCTGAAATGGAAGGTCTGTTTTCATCGATTTTATTTGATGTGAAGCTTCAAATTATCAGGCATGCATTCAAATGAAGCCTGAAAACACATCCTAGGGTGAAATTTAGGGGCCTTCTTTATACTTTTAAGAAATTATTATTTTACTTCATCACCATGGAGAATAAGATTAGCAATTTTTTTAAGAAGTCCTAGAACACAGACTTAAGAGATGACACCAAACCTGACCCAATGCAGGTGATGTGCGGGGTTAAGAAATCAATACTAAACAAAGTTTTAAAAACCTTTTCTTGCTCTCTCAGTTCCACGACTGCTCTAAGGAGGTTGGCTCTCTTGTGGCACACATAGTTCCGACCCCAGCCTAGCTAAAAGTGAAAGCATATGGACTTTCTTATTATGCTTATAGGTGCACGAAGGAAGTGACATATAACTGAGTATTCCTGACAGATTGATGATTCACATGTGTGAAGCTACATTTGTCGAATAAACATATGCCAAGGAACCAGTGGTATGCTAGCTAATTAGATAAAGTAATTTTTACCCTCACCAGATAGATGATACTATTCAGTTTTTAGTCTTGCTTTGCTAGACAGGTTAAAAAAAAAAAAAAAACCTGGCAAAGAATCCAAGCCTTTCCCGGAAGCCAAGGCTTGAGCCAAGTCAGCTCAAGACTGTCCATCCGGGAAGTGCTCAAGGGCGGTGGTTCTAAAGACAAGATGGGGGCTCCAGGATGGACCTACCTAATGCCCCTAACCCCTGACAGTGCCACTCTGGATGCTCATGAGGGCCCCTGGCTCTAACACACAAATGTGCGCACGTACCACCAGAAGCAGAAAGCAGGGCTCCATAGGTTTAATTTAAATATGCAAATCTATTCAGAGTCCAAATTCTATTCCTTCGCCAGCTTACACTGAAGCACACATTTACAAAAGAAACCCAAGTTATCTAATTGGCCAGCCGAGGGCTTTTCCCAACTGATTGGTGATGATGGTTATGCTCCTTAGTCTTCACCTGCCCCTGAAGTGCTTGATGGGTGGTGGTAGGCGGCCACGCCAGAGGGGAGAGCTGGCTGCACCTGGGGCATGACATGCACTGTGCTGGGGGACGCATGGGTGCGGGGAGGTAGGGCAGAGAGGAAGAATGTACGGACTCCTTGAAGAGCCAGTCTGTGACAGGATGATGCTGGGCTGGCATTTACATGTAGGCCACCAGGAAACTGCAGTTCAACGTAACCGGTAACGTAGGCAACACTAATACTATCCCTACTCCAAAATGGGAGGCTTTAAGTTGTGGGTAAACTTTATAAATGAGGTATTTTCATTTTTAAGAGATCTTATGCTTTATGCAAAATTTAAAAAGAAAACATCTTCAGCTGGAAAATCACATTTCCAGTCAAGCAAAGATCACAAATTCAAGGACAAGGCCGCTTAAAATTGTAGGACATCTGTGGAAAAGAGTAATTTCTGAAAAGCACAGTGCTTTTGTTTTCAAGCTCATAATATTTATACGGTAACTTGCATTAGGCAATTATTCTAGAGGTCGTAGGGAATCTGCCTAGACAAAGAGATAAGAATAGCCTACGTAAATGAGTGTATCGACTCAATGCCCTATGAGGCTTTTACAATATTCATGATACTTGAAATTAGTTTTAGTATTTAAAATATCCTAATCGTGATCATTTGTTTAACAAAAGATCTTCATGACAGCTTTTAAAGTTTTGCCTAGACCTTATCCAAATAACTATATTCTCAGTTGACTATTAAATTAATGTCTTCCTTTTGCTCAATTGAGGACAATGATAATGACCATTATTTACTTTGCATTTTATTAACTATTTCTTGATGATCCTCCTTCCTGGGAGCACAAAGAGACAGAGCACCTATAATAATAACATCTACTCCCATCCACTAAGTGCCGAGTGGGTAAGAGCATGACCTCTTGCTCTTCACAAATATATTATTTATCATCCCCCTAGAGCCAGCAAGGCATGTAGTAACATCCCCCTTTACAGACGAGGAAACTGAGGATGAAAAATTAGAAGTTGTCAGTTACTGTCAATTAGTAAAACAAAGAACAAGGCTTTATACTAGCTTGAAGGGTTATATTCTAATTCATTAGATTGCCTACTTACTGCTCAGGGTGGGGGAGGGAACATATAGACAGCACTTTCTGTCACCACACCTTTCAGCAACCACATAATTAACCCACCTGATGGAACACACTTTTCATGTCAAAAGAAGAAGTTCTCTTTTATCCCAACTGTGTGTTTATTCCTAAGGTTGTATCAAATAAATTTATTTGATAGCAAGAGGGAGGGTTTTTTTTTTTAATTAAGGGCTAAAAAGTTTTGCATTCTTTGGGGCACATGGGTGGTTCAATCAGTCAAGCGTCCGACTTTGGCTCAGGTCATGATCTCACAGTGTGTGGGTTCGAGCCCCATGTTGGGCTCTGTGCTGACAGCTCAGAGCCTGCAGCCTGCTTCGGGTTCTATGTGTCCCTCTCTCTCTCTCTGCCCCTCCCCTGCTCACATTCTGTCTCGAAAATCATAAATGGACATTAAAAAAATACAAAAATAAAACGCTTTGTGTGCTTTGTAAAAATGATCACGCCGAATTTTGCAGAGTCTTGAAGAGTGCAAACCCAGCACTTTACCTGGTTGTTGTTGGTTTTTAATAAGGGTGGCGGGGGTTCGTGATGTAGGGGTGAAGAAGCCGAACTGCTTTCGCTGTCGCTACCGTCACTTAAGCTAACTCTGAAAAGAAATAAGTCACACACATCAGTACAGGCAGTTCTTAACATATTTGTGGAAACAGGAGCAGAAAGCAAGGAGTACAAATGCCAAATCACTGAAAACTTTTAACTCATACAACCACTAACACATACCGGAGCTTCCTTTGTATTTGGAACTGTGTCCAGTGTTTTGCTGGCTATTTCTCATTTAGTAAGCCTTATTTTGGCAGGTAAGGATACAGACATGGACTAGGTCACCCACTGAGGGGCAAGAGGTAAAAGTGCTGGCTCTGGGATTCAAACCCAGGCAATGGACCCCAAGGCTGGCGCTCGGCCACTATATTTTACTGGCCCCATTTATCTCTCTGCTTCGATGCCACCCACCTACTACCATCAAGCATGTTACTCAAGCCTGCAGCCTTCTGCAGCAAAATTAGTTTGCAGGTTACTACCATTTTGTTTCCTTCCCCCTGCCTCGCTGCGACAGGTGAACACTTTAGCCATATTGGTAAAGTATGGGCTGCGGGAGTAGAAATAATTTCTAAAGAGAATATGGACAACGGCCCTACGTGACTGACAGCTCAGGGGACATTGAGGACAGGCTCTGTGAAGCCCAACATGCTAGACCCACACCAACGGTTTCTCCTGTGTGGTGATTCAAGGCTGGCCCTGCTTTTGGGACACGGATACAACAATTCATTGGAACTCTACTTCACCCACATGAAGAGACAATGTGTATGGGATAACTGCTTTAGAGAAGTCTAGTATCTTTCAACAACCAAAGATGACAAAAATATAACCCCTCCCCCATTTTCTTCTTTTCAGAACAAAATAGAATTTTCTTTCAGCCAGAATACAAGATATTTCTTTATGCTACTCTGCTGTGTGTATACCCTCTTTCTGAAATGCCCTTCAGAGTCTGTTCCCTCTCCTGGGCTATATAGTCACCTAATAAAATATTCTTTTCAGAGACAGAAAATGCTTCAGAAATCAGGATCGTTTTTCTTTTGCTCTGAATAGGCAATCACTTTCCAGCCCTATAATATATTCAGATAGACGAGATACCAGATAGGAAATGAAAAGGATACACTGGGACATCCTTTTAGCAAAAACTGATGGGACTTGTGTTTCTTAACTAAATTACATTAATGAAGTGTTCAGCTGAAGCGCTGCTTTAAAACGATTCTTGACTGAAGTGGTAAGGCTGAGTATTTAAGCTGATTAAGCAGTGGGGACTTCACAAGTGCAGGGAAGACCAAATGTTACCCGGGCGCTGCGGTACTAACAGTGCATGGCAGGCGGGCGACAAACAGCGGATCTCCAATAATGTGCATGGCATGGACGAGCGTGTAGGATTTGACCTGCACGGACTCGGGCGGTGGGGCAGCAAGGGGGTGAGCTACCACGGTCACAGACCATCTAGATTTTCTAAAGAATAGTAACTAGAAATTGGCTAAATAGGTCATGCGTTTTTCATCAGGTAAATGTGAGAGCAGCCAGCAGTCAGGGTTTGGGGCTGTTATAAAGGGAAACGTTACAAAGTCAAGGCCATAAGGCTCCTTGTTTTCTCCTATTCAAAACAACAACAACAACAAACCACAGATGGGTGAATTTGGGGGACAGGGAGGAGAAAGAGGTACTGAGTGTAAGTACAGAGTATGGCCACACGGAAGAATCACCGAGAGGTCTGATACAGCATATACTCCAAGGAGCCCTTCTCCAAGGATGCTAAGGAATTACCAATTAGAAAACACATGATCTGTCCAGTTTGGATTAAGATGGTATTCTTTTTAGGAATTTTAGGGCCTTTTACCCAGTAATGGGTAATGGGAAAAGATTTAAGGCAATGTATTATAAATGTAATTGGATTTTAAGTTCAAGTAGATTCATATTTTTTCTACTCAAACACATTAAAGTAAGCATGCCTATTTGTTTTCCTCGTGATAAAGAAATAAAACCCTCAAGGCAATTTCAAGTTGACTATTAATTATAAGTGACATGAATTACCATCTTATAATGTGGAATTATGCCTCACAGCATTAAAGCTACTTAAGGAACCTAATTGTCAGCACACTTAAAAGGAATTTATTTTCTGGAAAACACACACAGGTGATCCTACTTTTAATTAGGTCACACACATAATTCACTGGAGCCAATTATGGATTTCTAACTACAAACAGCAAACACAGTTTCCTTAAACTCTGAGCTGATAGCAATGGATCTACGCACACTCTTCAAATGAGACGGAATTTACTTCAGCCATCAGTCCTGCTCCCTTGACGTATGCTTTCAAGAACAAGGACTCCTACTAGGATATTTTCCCTACAGAATTTTTAGAGGACAAACCTCTGCTCTCTGAGAAAAGGGATACAGAGTTCCTTGTAGAGGTAAGCACGCCAAGGGGACCCAGCTGATGGGAAAGTGACCAGTTACTGCACGGGTTTCGGGTGTCACACCTTTGCCGTGGTTACACAGGTAAGTCTAAGCTTACATTGCAGGGAGCCACATTCCAGCCGAGTCACTCACCTGCGGCTTCGGCTGCCTCCTCTATTTACAGGTCTCTCCATTTCGGAGTCATTGTCATTATCCTCTGCCTCATCGGATTCCTCCTCATTGTCGTCGGAATGCAGATCTTTCATTATAGACCTTAAAGGACCTGAGGAATGACAGTAAACACAATCAAACACGTGACTTCAAGCACACTTAGTTGTATTAGACACAGGGGCCTGCTGGCCAGCACTGAGCACTGGTCAAAAAAAAAAAACCAAACCAAACCCATCATTATATATATTTCTACAATTTAGTTTCGAGAATGTCACATCTAACGAAAACACTATTGTTTTCATTAAAGACGCCCTAGGAAATTCAATGGAAAGTCTCTATTTCCTAAGAATGTGTTCCTATGAATTTCTCTTCTCTAAGAAATATTACACCTAAAAAGGAACAGAGAGATCTATTAGTAAATTGAATGTTTTGTTAGGTTAATCCATGTATTGAAAAGTTGAGACTAATAAATCACCCTGGTTGTAACTTGTTCTTGGCAATGCAGCCTTTGTGTGGTAGTTTTTGATCTATTAAGGTTTAGCTGTTCCTTTTATTTCAAGGTCAATTTCAGGTCAAGCAAGCATTTCAGTCAAGTTCAGATTATAAAGTATTTCAATTCCACAGTGTAAGGTCCTATCTCTGATCTTCATATTGATCTTGGACACAAGGTCTTGGGCAAGCAACAATTTTGTGCACTTTTTGTTTTACTTAAGAAATTCCTGGCAAAATACCAGCATATATTTGCATAAATAAAACTGTGCACTAAATCAGATGCCCACAAAATTCAAGAAAGTATCCAGTATAAGATGGGAAAGGAAAAAAAAAAACTCAAGTCATAACTAGTTTTATTCTAGAACAGGACATAACGGGGGGTAAAAAAAAAAAAAAAAAAAAAAAAAAGGAAAGAATTCAGATCCAGCGTGGCTTATTTTCACTTGACTGCTCATCTAAATTTTCACTTGACTGCACGTCTAAATGTGATGAAAACAAGATCACTCTCTTTAATGTTAGAGAAGACATTGTGGAGGCGGTCAAGAAAGTGAGGGAGACACTTTTATTCTGGACAAGGCGAGACCTAAAGCCTAATCTATGATATAAATATCTCAGTTATCACTAAGTTCTAAAATAAGTATTGATTCTTTGCAATCTCACACTCTGCAAAACCCAAATGTCTCTGCTTTTGTAGTGGGCTTCTATCTTTGGAAGTGAGTGTAACAAGAAATCTGAAAGGCCGAAATGGTCGGTGTCTTTTATCATGTCCTGGAAGCTTAGCCTTAGCCCAAATACACACAACAGTTTAATCCTTTTCAAAACACAGAAGACCATCAGGAATGGAGTATGGTCAATGAGGAAGGTAATGTGCAACACGATGCTCAAAACCAAATGATTCCTTGATACTATCTCATTGTTCACATTTAAAAAAAAGAAAGAAAGAAAAAGGAGCCCTTATTTGAAGATTTCCACACCAAAAAAAGTGTAAAATACACATGTAGTTAAGGTTCTGGTTTAAATGTATTAGATTTCTTTACATTTACATTTCTTTATTTTAAAGTTCAAGTAGAGGGAAAGTATGTCTTCAAGACAGCAAATTAACACTTGCCAAAGAAAACAGGCCTATTAATCTGCAGAACAAATAAATAAATAAAATGAAAGACATCCAGGAGGGAGAGTAGAAGCCTATTTCTCTATGTCGAAGCCTCCCAATTCCAGCCTTGGCTATTGCATTCCCTTTGGGAGCTCCCTGGAATAGGCTAGGTCTATAATCCTTTTATAAAATGGGACTCTGATGGCAGCCCCAGAAAAGGGGGGAATTTCTCGAGGCCAGCCTCATACATCAGAACAATTGCTCAAGTTCATTCCTAAGGGAAATAAATACGACTGCATAAAAGGCAAGTTATCATTCAAATAATAACACAGTAGAAAATCAGGCCATAAATCAACTCATGAAGATGTCTGACGAGACAAGTGCCTCACAGTTTGCCTGGGAGACGGTGATACCTTGTTGCCTTGTCTGGGATGGTGTGAAGCTGGAGCTGGAGCTGGAGCTGGAGCTGGCAGGACTGGGTTGTTCAGACTTTAAAGAAGAAGAGAAAGTTATCAATACATTTACGGGACACGACACCTCTAAAATGAAATATATTGTTGCCCCAAAATATTTTGCTCTTCAAAAACAGCCTGGCACTGTGCGAGAGAAATGAAAACATGCTGCATTATGCCAAAAACAGCGACACAGGAGAGTCATGGGGTAGTCTGCGTCTTGTCCGCCATAGTTTTACTAGATGCAGAAACAAGTATATAAACTCAAGGGTGATAAGACAAACACCGGGGTGCTACGTGAGGGAAGAACTGGGCTTTGATTTCACTCCCATGTTTACTGCTATCCAAATCTTCTAAAAGATTACCTCGATTGCCCTTTCTGCGATGTTGGATTGACTCTACTGGTTAAAACACAGTGGTAATGAGGCTAAGGTCATTGGTTCAATCACATTATGAGCCACTTAATTTCACTCTGGTCCAAGGCCACGACCCAACCCTAACCCCATTCATCCGCAGTTCACAAATAGAGGTAACATTCACAAGGAGATCTGGCCAAGTCTCACAAGTGAGTCATGGGGAAATGTTGCCACTGCCTTTAAAAACAAAAAAAGGCACCCTTTAATTCCACAGCCTAGGGGACGCAGGGAGAAAACATTACACACGTGCCCCACTCTTTGACCATGAACTCTCCTCATCCTCCAATACCCAGAACAGAGGCCACTTCCTCCCTGGCCTGTCCAATTCACAGCTGTCTTCCATCTCCAAACCCACTGAAGATGGGTCTCTCCTCTGCTTCCCTGATACGCTGCCGTGTTCCTGATGTGTGAGTCCTTTCTCTCCAGTAGACTGAGGGGGCTTGAAAAGGCAAGGGGGCGGGGGTCTCTCTTATGCTTCTTGTTATCCCCTCACACTTAGCGTAAAGCACTGCATACAGCAGGCCCTCTGTAGCTGTGACTGAAGGCAGAGCATCAGGCCCTCTGTTCCACCATCTGCCACTTTCTAGGAGGCTTTACAGTAGGTAAAAATGGGAAGAGCATATACAAGGATGGAATAGTGCAGGGAATGTTATTGTACCATCAACACAGTTGAACTGTACAGATTGAGGCCAAATTTAAAATAATGTTGGTAAATTTGGTTGCATGAGTGGGCTACTTCTACCTGCTTTCTGATGTGCTCATATCTCAACTATATACTCGTGTTATCTGAGAAAAATATGAGGTCTTTTCAGGGCCAGGCCATATCTTCTTTCTACGTTGCTCAGTGGGTGACCAAGGTATCAGGCCACGTGGAAGACAAACTCAGAGCACTGTAGGAAGCTGCTGAACGAGGAAAAGAACCTCAGTTCAGTTGATAATGCAGTTTTCTCACCACCAATTTTTTCCTCTCCCTGCCCCGCACTGAATCCCAACCCCCTTCTCTCCAAGCAACACTGAGATCCAGACTCGGACACAAGGAAGCACTTTCAGGCATTCCGAAGGCACACTTCACATCCTCAGGCTGGATGGGAAAACAGGTGTCAGCAATCTACCACTCATTCCGCAGGAAAAGAGCCAGACAGGATCTCTAATGAGCAGCAGGCGGCCACCAACCCTTCACCACCGCAAGATGTCCTTGAGATCTGCAGCACAATGTCCTCCTCATTGCTGTCTGTGGCCCACAAACAAGAGGTGGTTTACAATCACAAACGCCTGTGTGAGGTGCTCTTCATTTCTGGTGAGTGGCTCTTCCACTGTTGAGCCACAAAGGTGAGCCCCCCACCGCAAGGGCGTCCAGTTAGTAGTTGTGCACCGTGCCCAGCTGCAAAACATTTCTCCTGGGGGCCGCGGAGCACTCCTTTTCCTCTCCAAGTTGCTCTTTTCAGCCATGAAGTGTCTGCAAATGGTATTATTTTGATAGCTCTGGAAACCATTTGGGAGCCAAAAGAGAGGTTTCCTTGCAGTGAGTGGAGGGAGCTCTATTTCCCCCTCCCGCCAGACCAGTCATGTTGCACTAGGCTCAAAGGAGCCGTTCTGCCAGAGCTATTTGCTGAGAGTGACATTAATTAGGAAAGTAAGAGGAGATGGCGGCCATCTCTCCAACCACTCCATGCTAAACTTGATCCATGTGTCTCAAGCATCGTGCCAATGCCAGAACCAAACCTGCGGGCAGCCTTCCTTTAGCTTCTTAACCACAAACAAGGTTAATAATTCCAGTTACCAGCCATCAGAAAATTGACCAAGAGTAAAGAACATGATACAGCCGGAGAAAAAGGCTTTCATTCAATGTTTATCATTAACACCATGCCTGATCCACAAAGGATTTAGGGGTTAGAAGAGAAGACATAGTAATTCACTGAAAATATGAAAATACAAAGTTTAAAGCAACAGAGGTGAAGGGAAAAGGATACAATGTTGAATGATGGACAGCAAATTCCAATGTCCTCAGAGCTTTTTCATAACCAGAACAAGGATTTGTGGTTTGGGAGCCAAGGAGACCCCTTGGGATGATCAAAGACAGTGAGTCTCCCACGTTCATGGGCATTAGAATTACCTGGAAGACTTGTTAAAACACAGACATTTGGGTCCGACTCCAGCGTTTCTGAGTCAATAATTCTGGGATGGGGATGAGAACCTGGAGTCCATAAAAGTTGCCAGGTGACGCACTGCTGTTGTAGGGACCAACCCGACTTTTAGGAACCACTGATCAAGGACCCAGAGACTCACAGCCATGAATATTCATCAGAAACAGTTGGGTGGGGGGGGATTCTATACATAGGAAATTCAAATTCAATCGGTTTGCTGTGAGGGGTCCAGACATATTCATATTGCAAAAGCTCAACAAACGGTATTAATGAAAATTCCAAGGAGAACACCACTGATACTAGGTTAATCATTGCTTTCTTTCTAACTGCAAAAGCATGTTTTGGAAAGATTCTTAAACTTATGAAGTCATAAGAGAAAAAAAAGCATTGAGAAAAATTAGAAACTTATTGATGGATCCAGAAGTAGCTTCCCTGCCTACTCATCAAAATGCACCCTAAAAAAAAAAAACAAAAACAAAAACAAAAAAAACCAAAAAAACGCAGTTACCACTCAATGAAAACACTTAAGAAGCATGTACATGTAGTATTCCATTGTATAGATAAACCACATCTTCTTGATCCATTCGTCCATTGATGGACATTTAGGCTCTTTCCATGTTTTAGCTATTGTTGAGAGTGCTGCTATGAACATTGGGGTACATGTGCTCCTATGCATCAGCATTTCTGTATCCCTTGGGTAAATTCCTAGCAGTTTATCTATATGATGGAATACTACATGGCAATGAGAAAGAATGAAATCTGGCCATGTGTAGCAACATGGATGGACCTTGAGGGTGTTATGCTGAGCGAAATAAGTCAGGTAGAGAAGGACAGATACCATACGTTTGCACATATAGGAGGATTAGGAGGAACTTAATGGAAGACCGTGGGGGAGAAGAAGGGGGGAAATGGTGGGGGAAAGGGAGAGAGGCAAACCATGAGAGACTCTTGAATGCTGGGAACAAACTGAAGACTGATGGGTGGGGGGGAGGGGGGAGATGGGCATGGAGGGGGCCACTTGTGGGGATGAGCACTAGGTATTATATGGAAACCAACCTGACAATAAACTATTTGTAAAAAAAAAAAAAAAAGAAAAAAGAAAAAAAAAGCAGCAGCAGCAGCAGCATGTACAAAATCATGTCAGAGTGGATGGACCTTAAACTTACCTACCCAGACCAGGGCAAAATTTGACTCGATGTTAACTGATCAAAAAGCCACTCTGCTATTAGATGTGGCTGACACAGTCTTAGGGCTTATCAAGTCCAACCAAAAAAAAAAGTGTTGCTCATTTTAAGTGAAGTCTGTATTTTATTTGAAAATAAAATCAGATTTGTTCTCCAAAAACACAAATCAAGGGTGACTTTATAAACTAGGAAAGATTCTTTGTGTTTTTTTTTTTTTAAATAACCATTCACCATAAAGAAGACTAGATCAAGCTCTTTACAGTCCCTGAGGACTGAAAAGATGATTGCCTCCTCTTTTCCCCTCCTTCTGTGTCTATGTGCCAAAACCTAAGTAGAGAACGTCACTGAGCCTCTGATTATTCCCATTACTGGCTAATTGGATCTTGTTTTGGAAATATCAAAATCTGCCCCAGTAAAAAAAATTTTTTTTGGCTTCTTCTTGTTTAGGCCCAAGACCTACTAAGTTCTCAAACACTAGACATGAAGTTTAAATGGTGTGTTCCACAGTAGACAAAAGTCTGGGCTTAAGAACCTCAAATTCAGGGAGCCTGGGTGGCTCAGTTGGTTGAGCGTCCGACTTCAGGGTTTGTGAAGTTCGAGCCCCACGTCAGGCTCTGTGCTGACAGCTGAGAGCCTGAAGCCTGTTTCAGATTCTGTGTTATCCTCTCTCTTTCTCTGCCCCTCACCCGCTCATGCTCTGTCTCTCTCCCTCTCAAAAATTAACTAAAAAAAAAAAGAACCTCAAATTCTATAATTATTATCATATCAAACATTTACTGTGTTAAACTTAGAAATCTCTCTCACTCAAGCCCACTCAAACCTTTTTACAATAACTAATAAAACCTGACTTTATTCAGATAAAAAAACAATCATCTCAATTTCTATTGCTTAAGCAGTGCAATGTCCTCAGAGAGTGAGGGCACTGAACCCCATGTGGAAGTGATAATGTTAACTTGTGTAATAAAGTCAAAATTCCTAGCCCACTACTGTTACAGGGGTAGCAAATCACCATTTTGGTTGTTACTATTATTAACAGTAGACCACGTAGTGCTCTCTCGCCTAAAACAAGATCTATCTTTACAACCGAAACAATGGGCCTACCAAGATTTGCAATGGAATCATCAACATTAAATGGCTATGCAAAATCATTTGATAATGGATTTTCTACGGAGGATTACGTTTGTTCAGGACAAGTAAGAAAAACCACATGTTTACAACCCGTACAAGTGAAGTGCTTCAAAAGAGAACACCTGTCAAGGCAGGTCACACGAGGGGGCCTGTAAATCTGGCGTT